GCAGCATAGTTGCACAATCGAACGAATGGATCAATTTTCCAACTACCAACCATCAACTGATGGAGGCCAAGCGGATATTGCAAAGCATGTATAAATTTCAGCAATTGGTGTTATTGATTGTACACATATAGGAATCCGGAAACCAAATGGCCATGGAGATGAGTATATCAACCGAAAATGGAAACCTATTTTAAATGTGCAAGCCACTTGTGATCCCACAGAGATGTTCACAAGTGTTGATGCCAGTTGGCCTGGATCAGTGCATGATTCCAGAATATGGAGAAATTCACAGACTAGATCACAACTAATAAATAAGGCAAATTTTGTACTACTTGGCGATGACGGTTATGGTATTGAGCCATGGCTTATGACTCCTTTTAGAAATCCTACTTCAGGTGCAGAAATAAATTATAATAAGCTTTTAAAACAAGAAAGTGTTATGATTGAACGCTGTTTCGGCCAACTGAAACGCCGGTTTCCTATCCTACAGTATGTTTTCAGCGTAAAGTTGGAAAATGTGCCGAAAATAATTATTGCTTGTATTGTACTCCATAGTTGAACAAGACCCAGATGAAGATGAACGAAATTATGAGAATGACGAACATCCTCTCCGCCAACTAGGTCAACAAATAAGAAGAAACTTGAGTATTATAATAAATAATTTTACCGATTAAAGTGTATTTATAAGTTATAATAAGTTTTATTTTCGTGAACATCATAAGCTACAGGTGGCTTCTGACGCTGCATCATTTCTAATTTCGTTTTATAATGCTCTTGTTGTAAAATACTTGTTTGGTACTGCTGTAATAGCACTAGACGTTGCTTTTTTTTGTAGTTAACCCTTTGGTTTCCTCAGTTTCGTATTTCTCTGTTGCTAATTTTCTTTTTGGTGGCAATGTCTTCTGAATTGCTGGCGCTGTAATACTAACTGTTTGCTTACTGCGCTCGGTATATAGTTCACTTCCTTCTTCTTGAACACCACCAACCTGAATGTCACGTCAAATTTTCCCAATTGTAGGATTACAGTCACCTTCCATAGCTTTCAGCAACTTTCTTTCCCAATCTAACAATGTAATTGCTTCATTACTAGTTTTTTTTAGATCTGTTTTTTTTCGTCAATCTTGATTTCATGTTGCTGATTTTTTTTAATAAGCCTTTAGTATCTAATGGTTTACCGAATGTTGATTCGTATTTTTTCAACATCTTCTTCAAGGCAACGTCCTCATTTTTATTATACCTGCCCAAATATTTATTTTAAAACGCTGTTGGAAATGACCTTGACGAATGGTATGAGGATACTATGGAAACTTAATATCCCGTCTCGCGTAAAAGTAAATTCGTCCGTCGCTAGAATCTTTTAAAAAAAATCCGGATTTTCAATGTTTTTGTGGAAAAACCACTGACAGAATGTTAGTCTGCGAGGATAGACTTCTGGTAACAAGGGCTGCACTCGTTGTTTATGATAGGGATAAAGCAAATTTTCCCGTAGGATTCTATGGACTATGGTATGCGATAGTGCTACGCGGCGGCCTAATTCCCGAGTGCTGATATCTGCATTGATTTACACGATATTTAAAATTCGTTTTCCTGCACTACAGTAACCTGTCTTTCAGGAGTGCGAATATTAGTGTATCCTGTATCTCGAAGTCTTTGGTACACTTGCACAAATGTCCTTCTGTCTGGGTGTATCCGTTGGCGAAATCTGTCGCGATAAACTTGAGCTGCAAGATTTAAATTCTGACGAGCTTCACCGTAAACTAAAAACATGTCGGCGAACTCGTGATTCGAGAACATTCTAAATAAACACGACGACGTACGCGAACAAAAACAAAATGACACGCCCGATGTCCGATAACTAAATGCTGTTACCGTTTGCGATCGATTGCCGGTTCGATAAGAGTGATGAAAGGCCGACGCGCTGTTGTTATGTGTGTTTTGAATATTTAATTTAATGACACTTACTTACTGACTACAAATTTTAGCTTAACTTAGAAAAACTTAATACTATTTATTTGTTAATTACCCAATTTAAAAACGTTTTAGATTAGATTATAAAAATTAGTAAGATTGTGGTGATTGTGGTCGATATAGAGCACGTAAACTTGTAAACTATAAAGCCATTTAGACAAAAATCTATTGACTTGGACCATGGGTCATATGACCTTTTTGACCTGTTTTGACCCCCCCCCCCTATAATAATGACTACCATAACATCCAACAACCATATCTCATTTTCGAAAATTTTCGCGATTACTTGTAGCATGTGCAATAACTGGTGAAAAGACGGTATGATTTTTTTAAGGTTAGGAAGCATCCACTTTCCCCTATATGTGTAACTTCAAAACTTATAGGACATTGCGATAAAGCTTTTGTAGGAGTTGTGCGGAAGTCTGGAGACAAATATCACAAATTAATTAGATAATCCTTAAAGTTAATCATTCTAAGACGCATTAAGCAGGACGCATATGTAGATCCACATAGAACGTTAGCACAATTACCCAGAGCCTAATTGAATTGGGACATTGATTTGACTAAGCCATTCCATCCTATTCCTGCAGATAATCGAAGGCACTGGAAGATAATCAGGTGATCGATTCCGATTAGGTACAGAGTTGTAGGTAATTGTTTTCGATTGCAGTCTAGGATTACCGCTGTTGATCATTACAGCTCTAGGAAACAATTACTAAAGCGAACAAATAAGCATTTCCCATCCAGATACTTATAGCAAGACGAAGGTATATCCACATCTTGAGGAAGCAGACCCAAAATTACGTATGTCCTAAAATTCATTGGCTTTAATTTTAACAAACACAAAATAATATCAAGTTGCCTTTGGAAACAAAAGTTTGTTTACATACTTTGTCAGTTGACATTTATTTATTTTGAAGTCTTCGCTTGAAGGTGTCTTATGAATTAGAAATATGTCGAATATTTCAGAATGAAAACATTTCACGCAGAACCATTTATCGAACAATAGCGGAGTGCAAGCAGGAAATTCATGTCTGAATCTCCCAAAAAGTGGAAGACCAAGTGCATTTACTGTACAGAAGTTGGAGAGATTGGTGAGAAGAGCAAAAAATCATGTTGGAATGTCAACAAGGAGACTGGCGCGTCAGTACAGATCTTCTAAGAGTACACTAACGTTGAAATTGACGAGAGATGGTCTTAAACATCGAAAGAGACTTGAGTGTCCCAAATACTCTCAAGCGCAACTCATTCGTATACTAAGATGCTGTCGTCAACTGAGACGGGTACACTTCGCCAATGGATAATCATTATTTTGGATCACGAAAACTATTTCACTTTGAGCAATTCTGAAATGAATGAAGACGACGGATTTTATACGGAAAAGGTCGGGGAATGCCCTGACAATGTTAGATACAAACATAAACCGAAATTTGCAGATACAATCCTTGTCTAGTGCGCAATTTCTAACCAGGGTGAATCCCAACCTTTTGTGGGAAGAGTGAGGTGTGAAGCATTGAATAGTCAGAGCTATATTGATAACTGCCTTTCCAAATTGCTTCAGCTTTTCCACGAACATCTTGCTAACGACCATATCATGTTTTGGCCAGAGCTAGCATCATGCCATTACTCAAGAGCTACCCAAAACTGGAATCGACAACATACCATAACTTTTGTTCCTAAAAACGATAATCCTACAAACTCGTCCAATAGAGGATTTTTGGGCTTTACTGTTTAGGGAGGTTTATCATGGAGGCAGGGAAGGCCAAGATGAAGAACAATTAAGACGGCGAATTTACGAAAAACTGAATGACTTAAGTTGTCTCCATCATGTTTTTTGCCAGACACAAATCATTTTGTAAAGAAGACAATTTCGTAATAAAAGCGCTTTAAAAATAGCCGCGTTGGTTTTGTTATCTTTCCATAACCATTTAAAGAAACTCAAAATAAATAAATAAATTTTAATTAGCCTTCAAATAAAGTCACAAATACCGTTTCGGGCGTTGGGCCAACTTCACTGAGACAGGGCTCGTATTTCGTCTATTCAACAATCTAATAACAATTCATACCTATTTTCATTCTGACTAACACGTATTTACACATGATTCTCACAAATAAGTTAAAACTTCCGGAGCTGTAGGAGGCAGGCTCTTCCATTCTGTCATTCTTTCTAAGAAACCTTTGCTTTTCAATATACATGTATAAACATCATTTTTAATAAAAGAAGTGTATCAGATGGCAAAAGCGTTTTGCATTTCGGAGCACGTGTATACAAGAGGTTGTGCCCTGCATATATCACCGGCAACTTTTTCTTGCTATTCACATGAGTGTATGTATGTGTATCGATATGTTTTCCCTATCGCAAAATGAATAAAACATACGCATCCACTCTCAGATTCTCCGTTGCGATTCCGAGTTTGTGTGCTGTTAGAATATCTTCCTTACATCGTAAGTTGCCTTTTCACCGCCTATCTGCTAGTCTTTCCTAAGTGGTTTGTATGTATTATGTTGTTGTGACTGAATTATGAATCAATCTGATGTCAAGAAGTTTGGCTCAGTACTTGTTAGACACGAGTATAAATCCGAATTATAATAAATGAGAAACTATAAATTTACGGGTCCAGTATCAGGCTACGTCAAATGCTTCTTTCTTTTGAGCCATAAATCGTCGGGGTTGCAAGTTGCAGCTAGAGCATATTAGCACTAAAAGAAATGATGATATTGTTCTAAAAAATTATAAAAGAATGGAACGAATTTTATTTTAATTAAGTATGCCCTGTGGTAAATATCACATGATTTACAGTTATTTTCAGACCGTCCATGTACGTAGATTTGGATAATGCTACCCAGTATTTTTTGAAAAAGACATCTAGACACCTATGACGTACCCGAAAACAATTGAATCAATTTATTTTCTCAAATAATTCGACAGCTGTCAAATATTTGTTTTCTTGTCTGGTCATTCTAAGACTCCAAATATTTCTAAGTTTTGGTAATTACTAATTGTCATAATGGTCCAGTTCAATAATTAAGAAATGACAGATATGCATTTCGTTTACGGAATGGCTCTGGGTAAGGCTCGGCGAGCACGACGTTTGTATGGTCAGCAATTTCCACAACGCCCGACGCCTAATGTACACACTTTCATCAACATTCACGCTCAACTATGTGAAACAGGCAGTTTCAAGAGATCCACAGGTGTTCCAGGAAGACCCGTAACTGCAACAACCATCCAAATCGAAGAAGTATAATAAGCTTAATAAAATCGAAGAGGATCCTACAACAAGTACACGAAAAATTGTGCACCAGCTAAATTTAAATCATGTAACTGTATGGCAAATTTTGAAAGATCAGCAACATTATTCATACCATATACGAGCCCCTTCCCACTTCAGTTGGCCCAACTATTGAAATCTTAGTTTTTTTCTTATCAAACACAAATAATAAAAATGTAGCAGGGTGTTATAGGTTTAAAATATTAACAATGAATATTTATCACTCTCTAATCAAATTTTCAGCATAAAAATAACACCTGTTGCAATTACAGCATATCAACCTATTTTCATTTCAATGCAAAATAAGTCTATAACGCATAGGTGGCTGTGAAAAATAAAAGTCATGACAATTGTTTTTATTAATCACAGCAGTCAGAATACGTTTAAAATAGTTTTGGGTAGTTAAGGTTTTCAAAATGGGTAGAGGAAAGGTTATTAGTGAGAAAATTCGGTTACTGATAATTAATTTTTTTAATTCTGGGAAATCAAACTCAGAAATTGCAACTTTGTTAGACTTATCGCGGTACAGTGTGAGAAATATTATTAGAAGATATAACGTAACTGGTTCAGTTAATATTAAGCCACGATTTGTGAAAAACAGTAATATCACAAATGTCGACCGAAGAGCATTAAGAAGAATAATCGTGAAAAACAGGCGTGCTAATTATTTACAATTAAGTGCTCTGTGGAGTGACGCTGTTGGAAGGAGAATTTCGAGGTCCACAACTCATAGAGAGGCCCACAAACTGGGATTTAGCACTTGCAAGGTAGTTTTCTTATAAAAAAAAGTGAAGTAAAAACCCTAAAGTTGCACAACTTGTTTATAGTCCAAAGAAAAGCCACTATTTACTCCACTGCAGAAGAAAAATCGGCTTAGTTGGGTTAAAGAACATAGACAATGGACACCTCAACAATGGTGTGCAATACAATGGAGTGCTGAGGCCCGATTCGAAGTTTGTGTTGGTGACAGTCGCAGTAGAGTTATTCGCAAAAAAATGAATCATTGCATGTTGACTGTCTGAAGAGAAAAGTGAAATTTCCAGCATCCATTATGGTCTGGGGCAGTATGTCATCAAAAGGAGTAGGAAAACTTCATTTTATTGATGGAAATGTGGATACAAACAAATATTTGGCAATTTTAGAAGAATCGCTTTTACCAGTGACGGAAGAATGTTTGACATCCGGCCAAGATTTTGTGTTTCAGCAAGATGGTGCAGTGTGCCATACCTCAAAAAAGGCTATAAAATGGATGGAAGAAAATAATGTACCACTTTTGAAATGGGTTTCTAGCAGTACAGATCTGTCACCTATTGAAACTTTGTGGCACGAGATGAAAAAGGTTCTACGACAACATCCTGCTCCGCAGTCACCGAACTGAGACAAAAGCTTCAAGAAATATGGGATTGTTTTACACCAAATTTTTGCTAAAACTTGGTTAACACTATGCTCCAAAGAAATTCAGCCGTAATAAAAAATAAAGATGATGTTACCCAATGGTAATCTTTCAATTGTTGCTTTGTTAACTTCGCGAATTTATTCGTACATTGTTTATTTGTTCCGATGTTCTATTAGTTATAGGTCTACGTGATTTCAAATATGTATTTTTTACGACTAGAGTGTATCTAAAATGTTTTTGAGAAAATAAATTGTTTTAGAAGTAAATAGTTTCGTCATGTTTAGTTTATAAAGGCATATTTTGGTACAAATCTTGAAGTGGGCCAACTGAAGTGGGAAGGGGCTCGTACGACGTGTACAAGAGCGTTTGCCTCGAGATTTGCCTATAAGAGCTGATTTTTGCAACTGGTTGCGTGAAAAAGTAACATTAAATCAAAACTTTTTAAATCGAATACAATTCACGGATGAAGCATGTATTTCGCGAACAGGCAATAATAAATTTCCATAACAACTATGTATGGTGTGAAGAAAATCCCCATGCCATAATTTGGATTGGAATCATTAGTGACCACTTGATTTGCCCTCATTTCCTTCCCCCAGACATAGGGGCGAAGAATACCGAAGATTTTTGGAATTTGACCTACCTGGATTAATGGAGGAAAATAATAATTATCCAAATGAATGAATTGGAAGAGGCTGACTACAGTCATGGCCGCCTAGATCGCCTGACGTGAATCCTATCGATTTCTTTTTATGGGGACATTTTAAATCATTAGTATAAAAGACTTGATTTAAGAGTCAGACTTGTCGAGTCATGTCTGACTACCAAATACTCAGGGTATTTTCAGGAGAGTTCGTCAGTCAATGTGTAACAGACTAGACGAGTGTATTGAAGTCGAAGGCGGCCACTTTGAACATATATTGTAAAATAAAAACTATTCGATATTTTCTATTGTTGTCGTTCTATTCGAATGTTACTGTTCAAAACTATTGACCTTCTAAATAAATTTTATTTTCAAAAATACAGGATTAGACTATTTTCATCCACTTTCATATTGAGCCTCGGCAAATTGTAAAACATGGAAAATTTATCATAGGTTATACCAACTGTTCAATAAATACGTTTCATTATTCACAGAAATGTTTGGAACATTCGTATTTCTTTAGTGATAGTGCTCTAGCTCGAAAAGAAAGCCGTTACAGACCCATTGATTCGATGGTTAAAGTTTGCCTACATAGTTTATTAGCACCCTGTATATTGGCAGACAAAGTTTCCCAAAAAAAATATACTCAGCGACATTTTAAATGTCTTACATCCAGAAAAAATAATTTCTTCAATGACTATGACAATGTCAACGTTTTATCTTTGTTTTTGTTTACCTTTGTTCAAATGTTTTCTCTTAGATTTAGTGAAGAGAGCAGTTTCTGAGAGCTGAGCATCAAGTTTAAATTAAAACAAAGTGTTGCTTAATGATCCGTCTGTTTCATTTATTCAGTAAATAAAATAATACTGTCTTTTTGTTAAGCCAGCCTTCCATGGTCTACAAATACGATATCGGCAAGAAGGTTTTAAATATTTGCGAATTTTATTCATCGACAAAACAGAGAAGCCGGTAACACCTCAAGCCGAATACCACTTGATACGCACTTTAATAAACAGCCGGCAGAAGTATCACAGATATGCACTCCAGCCCCATTTCAATGCATTAGGAAAACACAGTCTGTGCATAACTTCAACTCCAATCTGTCTGCAGCAGCACAAAGCCGCGAGATGTCTGACATTTTACATTGCAATGCGGTTCCTTTGTTACCCGAGCAGATGCCTTCCCGGCAGAGGACCATTAGCATTTATGTTGATTAGCCTAGTATTATTGCGTCATTGTCTTGACAGGATTATCCATTAGATGCGAATTTCCCGCTGTCGCACGTTCCGAACGATAAACACCTAGGATGTTGATATTCTGGACGGATGGCAGATTAACAGGGGCTTGTGCACTGCTACGTCTGTTTTGATGTATTTGTGTATTGGTGTTCGTTCTTGCATTAGGTGCACCTGTCTGTAGTCGATCAGTCGCGTCAACAGACTAATCTGGGGTGAAATATGTTGCAAACAAGCGGACTGATTAGAGAGTCAATGAATACTACAGTCAGAGTATTAATGAAAATAATATTTCAAGAAAACCAATAAAAAAGAGCCTTCTTTTACAACTCAATTAAATTCTTGATGGAAAGGCTTTTCATTTAGAGATACAAAAATTTTCACTGGGTAAACTTTTTTAAACGTGAAACTTGAATAATCCACGTTCTCGCGTTTATTGAGATAGTTTTGAATTGTTGGTGTAAGTGGTCCAAAAAGGTTGTGGGGGATGTCAGTACCTTTAAAAAGAGACCTTATACGGTCAAATTCCTTAAATTTTAATTGATTATTACAAGAAAAGTAAAATCATCTGCTCCTACATTTATTTTTTACTGGAAATCTATAAATTATCAGTAATATAACGGGTATTTTTTTAGAGGTATAGAACTTCAAATTGCATTAAAACAACGATGGATTATTAGATTGACATGAATTTGTTTTATTCGAAAGATAATCTTGTGGCATTACATTTTAAATATGATTTGTGGCATATGACTGCCACGGCTGACTCGGATGTAGTCCAATCTGGACGTCCAATTTTCGATGACATTTGTGGTCGTATATTGGCAATAACATGGCGAATGTTGTCTTCCAAATGGTCAAGCGTTTGTCGCTTATCCGCATAGACCAATGACTTTACATAGCCCCACAGAAAATAGTCTAGCGGTGTTAAATCACAAGATCTTGGAGGCCAATTCACAGGTCCAAAACGTGAAATTAGGCGGTCGCCAAACGTGTCTTTCAATAAATCGATTGTAGCACGAGCTGTGTGACATGTTGCGCCGTCTTGTTGGAACCACAGCTGCTGGACACTATGATTGTTCAATGCAGGAATGAAAAAGTTAGTTATCATGGCTCTATACCGATCACCATTGACTATAACGTTCTGGCCATCATCGTTTTTGAAGAAGTACGGACCAATGATTCCATCAGCCCATAAAGCGCAAACATTAATTTTTTCTGGATGTAACGGTGTTTCGACATAGACTTGAGGATTAGCTTCACTCCAAATGCGGAAGTTTTGTTTGTTGACGTAGCCATTCAACCAGAAGTGCGCTTCATCGCTAAACAAAATTCGCTTATGAAAATTGGGAACAACGGCAATCTCATTTTGGGCCCATTCAACGAATCTGCGCCTTGCTTGATGATCGTTTGGCTTCAATTCTTGCACGAGTTGGATTTTGTAAGCACGCAAACCAAGGTCCTGCAAAATCTTAGATAAAGTGGATGGACACATCCAATTCCTGTGCTCGATGGCGGATGGACTCATTCGAGTCTTCCTCAATGCTACGCTCTACAGTAGCAATAGCTTAAAGTTCTATACCTCGAAAAAAAATACTCTATATTAATAAATGCAGTCAAAAGTTGAAACCTTTGTGGTGCTTAACAACAAAAAATTAGTTAAAAAATGTCCCACGGTTTCTGCAATTTTTTTTTATCAATC